AAGATCTGACCTTGGCCAGGGCCTTGAAAATGAAGGGAAATGACCCAATCTAATGTCCTTCAAAGTCAGAAGAGTAACGCTCAACCAGCCCACCTCCCAGGACTGACGTGAATAGTACGCGAGGCTGAGGAGCCACGACCCACTGTCTTCTGGGGAAAGGCCATTTCTGTTACTCAATCTGGCAAAAGACAAACACCGCTGGCGCCACATCACTCATCACAATTTCATGTGAATTCCTTCGTCAGAGCCATTCATGACAGTCAGTTTTTGTAACGGGGGAGGGGGCGGGCATGGCCCATGAAGGTATTGGCCATCTGGAAGTGGACGACCAAGCCGGGGAAATTAGACACTGCAGGAGTCCACAGTAGGGCAGGGTGGGGGGAAAGGCTGTGCTTGGCGTCAGAAGCCCCGGATCTGCATTTACTGGAGCTGTGACCCCCTGGCAAGTCCCCATGCCCCTCTGGGAATCAACTTCCTTTTTCAATAAAACGTTTTCATATGAAGAATTTAAATGTTAGAGTCGATAGAATAATAAAATGAATCCTCTATGTGCCCATTACTCAGCTTCTGCGGTTATCAACTGAAGCCTCGTCTCGTTTGCTCTCTCCCGCCACCCTGCCTCCCCATATTATTTGTAAGCCACCCCCAGGCATGCTGTCACTTCATCTGCAAATATTTCAGTTTGTATAAAGGATTCTTTTACAAAAACCATGACCACATTTAAGAAAACACTGACAACTCCTTCATGAGATATTCACTCAACATTCAAATTTCTACTTGTCTCATAATTAGCGTGTTTTGATTTTTTTCATGTTGGAATTTGTGTGAAGCAGGATCCAAATCAATTTCCACATTGGTTAGTTAACATGCCTTTTAAGCTTATCTATAGATTCCCTCTCCATCTCTTTTTTTCTTCTTCTTTAAAATGTATTAATTGAAGAAACTCGGTTGTTTGTCCCGTAGAAGTGTCCCACAGTGTGAATTTTGCTCAGAGGTCAATGTCTTCATCTGTCAAACGGGGGTAATCACTCTTTCCAAGAATTAAGTGAGATAACGCCTGTGAACGGGCCCTGACAATCGGAAGGCTCCCCGCACATGTAGCGTGTTAATACATCTTTTGAGCCTTTTAATACCCTGTTGCTGTTTTTCTGATGATAAACTGAGGCTCAGAGAAGCTTACTAATCTGTCCACACTCACACAGCTGGCTAACTGTAGAGGGAAGAAACGGCAGGGTGAAGCCAGGAGAACTTTGACTTCAGGCAAAGACCCAGGGTCGCATCCCACTGCCCCTTTCATGGATTTATGGCCTCATGCTTCTGCTATTTGAGCCTGTTTCTTCATTTGCAAAAATCAGACAGGAGGCCAGAATTGCTTGAGGCTAAAATGAGATACTAGAGTGAGAAGAGCCTCTGTCTAGACGCCTGGCAGTCAGTGACTCACCCCATTGCTTTGCCATTGCTTTTGCCGTCTGCTCTCCAGCCCTAATGCCTCAGCTCCCGTGTCAGGCCCAGCCTCCCTTCCTCCCTGAGTGTGGGTAAGGCTCACAGCTCTGGCGGTGATTGACCTGGTCCTTCCATCCGTCCCCGCCCACGCTCAGGCCAGCAGAGACAGGGTGGGCGGCCCTCGAAGGCCTAGCACGCTTGCTGTTCTGTTTGTATGGCAGCTCCGCAGGCAGCTGCAACCTCTTCCCTCTGGGAAACAATCAACTAGTCTTCCTCCTTCCCCCTCCGTTTTATTGCTCATCCCTTGGGCCCAGGGGCACAGAGAGAAATGCTCCAACTCTCAGCAGTGCCCAGCCCATCCCTGCAGCCCAAATGCATGGCTTCCAGGCACCAGCCTCGGCTGTAACAAACCTAAGCCTAAAGTCACAGTTCACATCAGAGCTGACACCAGTATTTTGATATCTACTCAGGCTCAGTGTCATCCACTCATCCAATAGGCAGTATGCCCTGAGAACAACAACAATGTGAACAACAACAACATCTCACACTTAGATAGCATCTACTCTATGCCAGGCATGGTTCTTCTAAGCACTGTGCGTGTGAGGCAGGTACCAGTATTGTCCCCACTTCGCAGGTGAGGACACTGAGCACTGAGAGTTTGAATAACTCACCCACGGTCACAGAGCCCATCAGTGGCCAGCCGGGATTTGAATCAAGTTTGCCTGCGAAGACAGACACTACGAAGAGAGGGATTTAAGTCCCGCTGTTGGCTGCTATGTATGCCAGGCTTGGTGCTAGTTGCTTCAGTATATTATCTCATTTAATCCTCACAGCCGCCTCTAAATATCTACCGTATTGTCCACATCTGAATGTGAGGACACTGAGGCTCAGAGGGGTAGAATATTGTGCCCAAGTGCACACAGCTGGATCTGCTTGACTCCAAGATCATGCTTTTTCTCCTCTTTCAAGCTGAGAATAACATGTGGATGCACATCCCTGGCATTCAGATCAGAAAGTGATGAGGGCCCTGCAGGAACGAGAAGCTATAGGAACTCAAGAGGAGGATGGAATTATGTTCCTAAAGCTTCCTGGAGGAGGGGCCCTGTCGTGAGCATAGGAGGGGGGCCTTGAATGGTGGGAAACCCACCCCTCACATCGTAGCAGGCTTCTAACTGGAGCCCTGTCCTCTGTTAGAACCTCCAGGTGGCAGGGCTGCCCCCTCACCCATTTGTAGCCATGCCGACTAAGGCTCTCAGGGGACAAGTGGTCTGAGGTCTCACAGTTGAGGCCCCAAGCCTAAGGACTCATCCTTGAACTCTGACAGTGAGGGGGATACCTCCTGGGGTGGAGGGCTTGGAGGTGGTGGCTGAGGAGGAAAGACACCCCCCAGGCCAGTTAATTATAGTCATGAGACTATTATTGTCTATCTCCCCAGTAAACTCTTAAGTGCTCCTAGGGCAGGGGCTGGTCTTGGTGACCTTTCCTCATCCACTTCTAAGCACGGGGCCTGACATACGGTGGGCACTCAAGAAACTTTAATGAAGGGAGAAGGAAGGGAGGGATGGAGAGGGAGAGGGGTAGGATCTTGTACCAAATCCAGGGGCCTTAGACTCCAGCCCACCCCAGGACCACCAGGACCCCATGTATCACATTTTAAGAGGAATAAATCCCTAGAGGAAATATCTGTGGGACATGGAGGGGTCTCCCTTGGAGGAGGGGAGTTTGTGACCATGACACTCATGCCAGGGGCTAGCCCATGGCAAGGGGGCAGAGTGTGGTGTGCCCCCAGAGAAGAATGAGGACTAGAGAGGCAGATTGGCTAAAAATAAGGACTTTTCTTCAGGTCCCACTGGTCCCCAAGATGCATCAAGCGTCTGCCACAAGAGGCATGCAAGCAGGGCAGGGACCTCCTCTGCTGAGGCTGAAGAAGGGACTTTACACCAAAGGGCCCCAGTCGGCGCAGAAGCCCTCCCAGCTCTGTCCCTGTGCTCTCAGGAATCAGGCTGTGGAACTCCTGTCCTGGGTTCTATTCTGTTCCAGCGCCATCATCAAAGACGCTGTGAGCCGAAGCCACTGTGCCAGGCGCTGTGCTGAGCGTTCTCCCTCACGTAATCCTTGCCACATTCCATCTAAGGGATGCTGTTCATTGTTATCCCACTTTACAGGTGAGAAAGTTGAGGCTCAGAGAGGCCAAGCTGCTTCTCCAGTCAGAGATAGGAAATGTCACTTGGGCCTAAAACCAGGTCTACCGGATCCCAAAGCCATCCCGTTTCACCTGATTCCAATATCCTGTGGTCCCGCGGTTCACTTTTTGTGACCTGAAACCACAGTTCTTCCCCGGGGGGGGGTGTGGGGGTGTACCACAGGGCCCCCAACTCCACCACAGCCTGGCCCCTACCCCACCGCAGCCCCCACCTCAGCCTTACCACAGTCAGCTCCGTGGTTTCCCGAACATTCTCAGCCAACAACAGCTTTCGCCATAATGGTTCCCACAAGGGGTTGCTGGTTAATTCTCCTCACTTGGTTCTCGATCGCTTTTAAAGTGGAAGGTGGATGAGGTCCAAGACAGGCCATGGCCTGTCCCCTCCTCCCCTCCCCCTCCCGCCCAGCAATGACCTTCATGTTTATCTCACACTCTGGCCACAGTACATCATTTCAGCTTAATTTTATTTCCTCTTATAAATGGGCACAGCACGGGAAATGTTAAAAAAAAATCAAACATTAAAAAAAAGAAAAACAACTTCCTTCACACAGCTGGGACAGGTGAGCACCCACAGTGGGGCAGGTGCCCTGGTCTTTTTCCAGTCTTTTTCCTCTACTTTTCCTTATTTAAAGTTTTGGCCATGAACTCAGGACAGGTGTGGTTAATAAACAGATTATGGGGAGAGAGAGAACAGGGGTGGGCCTGGGGCAGGAAGAACAAACTCGCGCCCACCCCGGGTCAGGTTCTTGGAGGGCTCTGTACAGGAGAAAGGAGGCGCGGGAGGGACACTGTCTTCAGGGGGCTCTCTGGAGCCACGCTGCCTACGAAAAATATTTACATGCATTCACCACGCTGGGGCTGGGTGCACTGAGCTGCCAGGTGGGCACCTGGGGGACACGGGGGCCATCAGCCCTTAGACGGCGACTCTGGGCCCAGTCTCAGCGTCTGTAAATCTGTACAGTTTGTGGGCTTCTATTTACAGGCAGGAGGCCTGGGAAAGCAAGTCCAGGGTGGTGGCAATCAGAAGAAATTCAGAGAGCCGAGGAGGCAGCGGTCCCTCCTGCTCCGAGACAGAGATGGGTTTGCTCCCTGTGCCCAGCGCCCCAGCTGGAGGCCTGGACAGAGATGGCTTTGCCCACCCAGGGTAGGGGTCTGGCCTGAGCACCCCAAGCCGCTGCCCACAGACCTGCCCAACCCAGCCCTGGTTACCACCCATCCACCTCCAGAGATCAAGGGGACCAGCCTTTTAGGAGGTACCTCCCCTGGCCCCTTAGGGAGACAGAGCCTGGCTCCAGAAATCACAACTGGAGGGTGGGTTCAACCTCCAACTTCCTAGGCCCCAGCCTGACTTGTGCTCCCCGGCAGCCGAAGTCACAGAGAGGTTCTCAAGCCACACAAGCGCCCTCTCCTTTGGCATTGGCTGTGCTTCCAGGAAATGCCAGGGCCCACAGGACATGCTCCCCAGAAGTGCTGAGGTGTTTGGTATCTACTGCGCAGGCCCTACACACATCACACCAGGCAGGGTGAGGCCCCACACCCACATTGCACCGAGGAGAGCGCCAGTTCGTCCTTTGAACAGACCTCTCTCTTGGATTGCCTTGCCCGATGTGGCTGGCCGGAGTGGATTTGAGCTGTCAGATTGCATTAAACTTCATGAAGATAAACCTGGGTATTTATTTGTCTCAGGTTCAGGTCTCCATGAACGAGGCCCTCAGCCTCTTCTCGCAAATGCTAAGGACACAGAGACGAGGCCATGCCAGGAGACAAAGCCCTAAGTCATAAAAGTTGGAAGCCAGCCCTCAGATGTGAAGGGTGAGGCCTGCTGGGGCCAGGCTGGGCCCATCCATGCAGGACACTCCAAGCCCACTCCAGCCAGCCTAAACCCGAGTCATGCATCCTGTGCTAGACCCCGACCCCACCACCAGTCTCCCACCCTGGTCCCAGCATCCCTGGGCTTACTCGGGGGTTCAGGTCCTCTTTGCTCCATGCCCCCTGGTTTCTCAGCCTTGGCCTGCCCAGGCCTTCTCACCAGAGCCTCTACCCTGAGACAGCAGCCCACCAGGGAACAAGGGAGAGGGGGTCTGGGACTTTGGTCCACCCCTGTCCTCCAGACCTTCTGGTCCAGGGATGGCTGAGGCCAGGCCACCTCCAACAGGTCGTGGGCCCAGGATGCCTCCCCCATTCCTGACCCCCCCCAAGGCCGGGACCAACTGGGTTCCTCACAAGCCTCCAGGCGCTGCCAAGAGGGGCTTTGGGGTCTGAAAGAGGGAGCTCCAGCCTGGAAGGACAGTGGAACAGACAAGCTGTGCAAGCCAGTGGATCCGCACCCTCACCACCTCAGGCAACCCCATCCCTCACTGTTGCCAGTGCGTCTTGAAAAGGGAACAGAAATAAAACCTGGGTTCCTGACTTTAACCTGGGTGTGGGTGAGGGGTGGGGGTGTAAGCACCAGTCAACTGCCACTCAGACCATAGCTCTAGGCTCCAAGAGCCCCCACCGAGCATACCCTCCCCAAAGGAGATTTGTGACCCCACATGTAAAACACCCATGGAAGTGGCCCCACTTGCAAGGGTAAAGAAGGGGGCAGGGGGCTGGGGCCTGAGGTGACACCCCTACCCCACCTGCTCTCAGCCCTCACTGGGGCAATGCGGCTGGATGGGCTGCTTTCAGCTGCAGGTCCATCAGCTGCAGCCAGGAGAACCGCCAGGTTGTTTGACCAAATAAGTGGGCAGGTGTCCATGGGAAAGGCCCAAGGAGGACCCCAGGATGGGGCTGAGGTGGGCCTGGCAAGGCCGAGGGTAGAGGGTGCAGAGGGCCCAGGCGGCAGGGCCCACCCTCACAGGCACTTTGGAGACTTGTGTCCTGGGAGGCAGAGTCAGCCCCTAGCTCAGAGTAGGATGGGGACACAGGGAGACCAGGAGCCAGACCACGTGCCCCCACCCGACCTGGGTCCTTTGGTCCTGGAGACCCAAATCCCCTCCCCAGCCCAAGGCCAAATTCCCGGAACCACCTGCCTTCCTCAGCAAGGCTCCCGGCTAGTGGGTGACTGCTCCTGAACCAACCCCTTTGTGGGTACAGAGGGGAGGGAAGCAGGCAGGGGTGAGGCCAGGCCAGCGGTGTGCAATGCCCTAAGGGGGCTTGTGACAATGTCCCCCCACACCACACTTTCTTCTGGGAAAGGTAAGTGCCCACCTGTCCTCCAGTGTGAGTGGGGATATGTGGGGTGAGACTGTGCATCCACGTGGGATTGTGTCTGATATGGCAGGGTCGGTGGCAACGTGGTTGATGTGGGCGCTGTGGTGAGAGGCTGAGTGTAACTGGGCAGCTCAGGGGACCCAATATGGGCTGACTGTTCCGGCTTGATTCCACCCTCCCCAGTGAGCCTGAAAGCGAGAGACACCGTGTGTGGTGCTAGTGTGTGCGTGTGTGGAAGAGGGAGGGACTGAGGGAAGCAAGCCACACCGTCACCACTGGGCAACGATGACTTGTGACTTGCATTGTCATCAGCATCTGGGGTGCGTGAGAAACGCATGAGAAGGAACATCTTTGGAAGAAATGTGTCTGTGACATATCTAGATTGGCAGGGTGGTCAGGATTTCGTATGATTTTGTCATTGCGTGCTTTTGTCTTTGAGTGTGATAATATGTGTGACCCTGTGAGAGATGGTGTCTGTGCAGAATCCACTTGCAAGAGGGAGATCCGAGCAGCCCAGCCCCCCTCACCAGTGGCTGCCAGGGCACTCTCGGGAAGCCAATTCCTCAGGGACAGACTGGAAAAGAGGTAAAACCTTCAGGTGCATGTGCAGTGAGTGGGTGGGGGCAAAGGGAGAGTGACCCCACAACCTCAGAGAGGCCAGGACAAAACAGGCTGGAGACAAGGGACACTCTCACCCAGGCGAAGAGGGGCCCTGGGACAGGAGCGAGTGGTGGCAGTGTCTTGACGATTTCAAGGGCTAGGCTTATAAATGCTTGTCCTGGAAACCAGCCAGAGTGCCCCTCTGTCCCCAAAATGAGACCCCAGCCTTGTGGGGCCAGATTGGGGGTTCAAGCCCCACCCCTTCTTCCACCAGCCAATCAGGAGCTTCCTTCCTCTTGTCCATCTGACATGAGGTCCTGAAGCCCCAAGCTGGTCGGGGGAGACAAGAGATGAGCTCATAAGGGCAGTCTGGGACAGGTGGCAGTACCCTCCGTCCCTTGGGGGAAGATCTGTGTGAGGCTGGCAGTCTGGGCAGACCTTGGGAGGGAGAGCGGGCAGAGATGAACTGGGGCCAGGCTCCTTCCCAGGCCCAGTCCCAGCCCCAGGCCCGGACTGATGGAGTGGGCCAGGGACTGGGCGGAGGGGCAGCGCTGAGGCTCCGGGGAGGCACGGTGGCTCCGCTAAGCGTAGAACTCCTCCTGTTTGTCCGGCTTCTGGTACGTGACGCTTGCCTGCTTGGGCTCCTCCAGCGTGTAGCTGCCTTCGTCTTTCTTCTTCATGCGGTAGATGAGCAGGGTGACCAGGAAGGCGGCAAAGAGCGCGCCTACAACCCCGCCCACAATCACAGCTGCGGAAGAAGACGGCAGAGGTCACAGCCCGAAAGCAGGAGGTGGGTGGGGGAGGAGAGGAGAGGGCGCAGGGCCCTGTGGGGGCGGAGACTCACATCTGAGGCTGGAGTTGGAGTCATTTCTGATGCGACCAGCTCTGGGTGCCATTTACAGCCCTCACTGTGGCCTGGTCAGCTCTAGTCGCCTAACACACACGAACCTAGCGAAGCCTCATGTACCTCAAGGGCAGTGTTATGGTCCCCATCCAACGTAAAAAACGCCAGCACAGTTGGAAGATGCTCCACTATTTTGTCTACCATTCGAAAAGAAAAGCTCTGCCAACTAAACTAGGGCTCGTCCCAACTACGGAGGAGTTAACATATGAACAGATGTGCACTGAGAACGGATTAAGTGTAACATGATGATTCCTGTTCTACAGAGGAGGAAAGGGGCGTCTGGGGAGGTAAGGGACCTGCCCAAGGCCACAAGGCTCCTAAATAGGGAGCAGGGTTTGGACCTCGAGTCCAGACTCTTCAGGAGACATGACCAGGGCAGGTCCTCACTGGCAGGTCAAGCCAAAGAATAGGGTCAGAGGTTAGGATCCAGGGGGTGAGGTCCAGGAGGGGACAATCAGCATGGCCCAGGGTAGCAGGTAGCAGGGTAGGCAGAGTCTAAGGAAGGGTCAGAGGTGCTGAGGAAAGTGCTGAAGGAAGCATAAGTCAGGGTGAGACCCTGGGATGGCGGAAGGTCAGAGGAGGAACCAGAGGTTAGGTCCTGGGGGTTAAGACCCCCAGCCATCCCTTCCTAAGAAACCAGGCTCCTAGCAAATGCACACCGACCGCCCTCCTGGGTTCCTCGGGGACAAACTGAGGCCCAACCAGCCGCTCCATCCTGGGCTCCTCCTGGGCCCAAGCCTCACCTACGAGCACCTCCTTCCGCTCCAGGATGCTCTTCTGTGGCAGCTGAGCCGCCGAGCTGCCCGAGTCGATGGCATTGTCCAGGAGGCCAGGGCCTGGGCGGGCACCCTTGGGCAGCGTCCCAGGTGGAGGTGACGGCTTGGCTGCAGCCCCACCCACTGCCACCACTTCATTGGCTGTATCTGGCTGTGTGGTCTCTTCCTCTGGCAGTTCAAAGTCCCCACTGGGCCCTCCGCTCACTGGCACATCTGGCTCATCCCGGGTCGTGGTCAGGAAGGACTCTGGAGTTGGGGTCTGTAGGGGGAGTGGCATGAGCCCAGGAGCCAGGCCCCAGCACCCCCTGCCACAGGGCAGGTGCATGCGCACGCGCACACACACACACGCGCGCACACACACACACACACACACTCTCTCTCTCTCTCTCTCTCTCTCTCTCTCTCTCTCTCTCTCTCTCTCTCTCTCTCTCTCCCAGTGGGCTAACACTTACCAAACGTTCACTATGTGCCAGGCACTGTGCTAAGCACATTATGGGCATTTTACCCTCACAAGACCTCCATGAAGGAGGCATTATTATGCCCAATTTACAGAGCAGGAAGTAGGCTCAGGGAGGTTAAGTGACTTGCCCAAGGATACACAGCTAGTAGTAAGTGGTAGAAGCAGAGCTAAAATCCAGCTCTATGCAGCTCCAGCATCTATGTGTCTAACCATATGCTTCGCTGCCCCTATTCTCACCTGGCCACATCCCGTACCCATCCCATCTCCGTCACTTCCCCCTGCAGCTGCCTGGGGGACTCCTGTAGAGTTTCTGTTAGGAGGCTGTTGGGTGCAGATGTTATATGCTTGGGCCTGGTCCCTGGTCCACATGCCTGGGGCACAAGTGAGTCTCTTGGCCTGGAGGTTAGTCCAAGAGCACAACCGCAGAGTATGATGCCCCTTGGGGGCAGGTGTCCAGGGAGCCAGCCCAGTGACCCTGAATCTCAATGGCTCCCACCGTGTGGGGCAGGATCAGAGCTGGGATCAGGGCAGGGATGGAGAGAGTGGGCCTGGAGACTGTGGGCCCGGTGCCCAAGCCAAGAGGCCATGTGCAGAGGCTGCACCAGTGACCTGGTATCCATGCCCGGCATTGTCTCCCCTTCCTGCTTAGCCGAGCAGCTGTGAAACACCAGGCTGCCCAGCTGCTCAGAGTTGCTGAGGACAGCGCCTGGGTCCTGCTGGGGCTGACCAGGCAATCAGAGGGGCTGACGCTGACCTGAAGGCAGGTCCACAGCATGTGGGCTGTGCTCTGTGAGGCTGGCTGCTTTCAAGGGCTTTGGTACCCCAATCAACGTCACCATGGCCGCTTCCTGCCTGTTGTACCCAGCAGGAGTCAGTTTACTTCTCCTGTCTCCTTCATCTCATCCATCCCAGGGATTCTGACATCTTGATCCTGTTCCCTTCAATCTCCCACCCTCCACCCATAATACCCCCCACACACATGCCCCAGCCTCTGGAGCCAACTGCCAAGTACAAATCCTTAACTGTGCCACTGCTGGCTTGTGAAGCCTTGGGAAAACGGCCTCCCCAATAAAAGAAGGACGAACACAGTGCCACCTTGCGGGGTGGGTGTGAGGAGATGGCACAGGTAATGTGCATAGCACTGAGCCTGCTACCCAGGCAGCGCTCCCCGAATGTGAGCTACAAGTATCTCTCCCCGAATGTGAGCTACAAGTATCCCTCTCGGGCTGCCCACTTAGTCACCCTCAGATGAATAACAATTATAACAACAACGATTATGGTGACACTAACAATACCCACACTTTCAGTTTGTTTGCTGCTGCCAGGTACTGTCCTAAGCACTTTGGATATGGCAGGAAATTTCATTCTCTCAACATTATGATTTGCATTCGTACTTTCTCTTTTTACACAGATAAAGAAACAGAGATATAGAAGGCATAGAAAGGACTGGTGACTTCCTGAAGTCACATGGCTAAAAAGTAGCAATGGAAGAATTCCAACCCAAGCTGCCTGGCTCCTGAGTCTGTACCGTGACCAGAATACACAGGCCCCTGGCCCCTCCCCCACCAACACGTTCATCACCCAATTCCTTCCCAATATCCTAAGACCCCATCGGCCACATGCTTCTCTCACCCTCCCCATTCCTGCCTGGCTCATCTCCAGAGCTTCCCAGTCCTCACCCCCGCCCAGTCCATCCTCTCTCCCCAGACCCTGACCCACCCTCCTCTGCTCTCCTCCCCAGTTCTCTCACCTGAGCCACCTCGGTTGGTCCGGGGGCAGTGGTCCCCAGGGGCAGGGTGCTCTTCTCAGGGATGTCAGGCTCCTGGGTGGTAGCTGGCCTGGGAAGGGCCCTTGGCCTGGAGGTAGCTGTACTGACCAGCCTGGGTGTTGGGGCCTCTGTGTCCAAGATAGCCACCGTGGTGGGAGGTGAGGGCACCGCTGGGGTGGTGGCTTGGGCTGTGGCTGCCGTGGTCAGTGGAAGAGGCAGAAGCCTGCGTATGCCGGTGGTCCTTATGACAGAGGTGGTGGCCGTGGCAGGAGGTGCTGCAGGGATGCTAGGAGTGGCAGTGGCCACTGTGGCAGGCACCATGGCCACAGTCGGGGCCCCTGTGGTTGTGGCCACAGTGGTAGCCGTGGGAGTGGAGATGGTGGTAGCTCTCTGGCTGGGCTCTTCTGGGACCTCTGTCGCCACTGGAAGGCTAGTGGATGGCTCTGGGGTGGGACTCTCAGATGGGAGCTCTTCAAACGGGGTGCCCACAGGCTGGATGTCCGTGGTGGGCAGCACAGCAGGTGTGGTGGACACTGCCAGGGCCACGTCCGGGCTGAACCGCATGGCTGTCTCAATGCCTGACTCCTGCTCGAAGTCTGAGAGGATGGGGGAGAGGAGAGAGCTAGGGAGCTGGGTGACGGTGAGGGGTGTGGTGAGGATCCCAGGTAAGCAACGGCCATCAAGGTGTGGGGCTCCAACCCTCACTCTTTGCACAATGTTCCCAGGACAAGATGAGGGAAAGGAGGAGGAAAGCAGTCTGGACAAAGGTTACCAGTGGGCTGGTGGCCGGTGGATGTTCCCCAACTCCTCTCTGCCTACCCAAAAGTTCCTCTAGGGGGCCATCTCTTCCAGGAAGTCTTCCCTGAGTATTCCAGCTCACCTAGCCTAGAGCTTCTAGCAGGTTGAATCCAGGCAGTGGTAACTAAGGACCTACTGGCTGTAAATCTCACTGAAGGCTGAGGGGAGCAGGGGAAGGGTATTCTGGGAAGAGTCAGACCTGGATACCCTAGCACGAGCACAGGCGGTGGGTACGTCAAGGGCTCCCTGAGGCGCAGGCCGAGGGCAAGAGGGAGAAGGAGACCTTCCTACAAGAGAATGCTCGAGCAATCTGGAAGACTCAAAGCCAGGTCAAGTGAAGGAATTTGGGGGGAAATGAGGAGAGACAGAAAGAAGCTGCGGCCAGCAACTAGAGGACCTTAACCACGTAGAGGAGAAGCAAAAAGGGGCCAGGGAGGCTTGGGAGTAGACATCACCCACCAGAGAAAGACTTAATGAAAATTAACTTGCAAGGGGTTTAAAGGAGCGGGCTAAAGTGGCAGGGGGGGGGGGCGCTGTGAGTGGCTGGTTCCGCAGCACACAGACCTCCTACCATCTGATCAGGCCTGTCCTGTCCTCTCACTGAGCTCAAATCTCAGCACACACACCCTTTTTAGAGCTCCCTCTCTGTGTCAGACCCTGATGTCTTATGCTGAAGCCTTTCAGAGATTCAGAAAAGAAGGTATACTTATCACCATTCACAGATAAGAATACAGAGACTCAGGGAGGGAAGGTGGCTAAAGGCGGCACAGCTGTTAAAGTAGCAAAGCTGGGATCCGAACTCGGCACATGACATCTCCCTTACCTCACACCACTCCACTCCCAGGCTGGGTCTGGAACCAGGCCCCACCCTTTCCTAACACTGCCCTAAGCCTGCCCTTGGTCACAGCTGACTGGACTAGAGCCATCAAATGGGCTCTGCTGAGGATTTGCCACCGAACTGAGAAGTGGCTACTAAATTCCTCCAAGTGGTCAGAACAGTACTGAAAAGTGGGTAACTGAGGGGCATCTGTGTTCCCCCAGTGGAAGCTGGAGGTCTGCAGCGAGACTGAAGCAGTGCACAAGAGACAAAGAGGCAGAACTGGGGGGGGGGGGTCCTGCGCTCGGAGGCCTCCAGGCCCTGGTTGCCCAGGAAAATGACAGGATGACTGGCCCTTCTTGCACTTGAGGTCCATGAGATACCCCTGCCTGACCACCCCCCCCCCGGCCCCCGCCCTGCCACTCAAGTGAGCCTGGGTGGATTCCTGTTCCCTGGATCAAAGCCTGGGGTGGGGCACTGTCCCTGCGATCAAGTCGTGGGCGGGGCACTGGAGGCAGGTTGACGTTGCCACCAGGATGGACAGCCAAGGGGAAGGGGAGGAACTTACAGCCTGAGCCCGACCCCGAGTACAGGTCGTCCAGCTCATCATCAGGGAAGGAGTCGTCGTCCCCAGAGCCCTCGAGATCCACGGGCCTCTCAAAGTTCTCGCTGCGCCAGCGCTGAGCCTGGGGGGGGGGGGACGGGAAGGGTAGAGACAGGCACAGGGCTCAGCACCTGAGGCCAGCAGCCCAGACACACCCAGGGGGACCCAGTGACAACAGAGGAATGACATCAGGTGTGGCCTCCACGTGGGCAGAGAGCCAGGGCGGGCCTAATTACCACTTCCAACCACCCCAGGCCAGGGTAGCAGCTCCATCTTACTGACAGCCACCACGGAAGACCCTGGTTACTCCCTTGTCCCCTGATCAGAGCCTCCGGGTGGCAGAATCAGGTTTAGAGCCAGAATGCTGCATTGGAGTCCCTGCTCTACCACTTATGACATGTGTGACCTGGGGCAAATTACTTAGCCTCTCTGTGCCTCAGTTTACTTGTCATTCATAAGCAAATAGCACCTGCCTTATGGGGTTGTTGTGAATTGCCATGTGCCAATATAATATACGTGCAGTGATGAGCCCAGGTGTATGCAGCAGGTGCTCAGCACGAGTCAGCGTTACTCTGTGTGGCCAGCGTCACCAGTGTCACCAGTCCCCTTCCACAGAGGAGAGAACTGAGAGGCTCAGGTGTCCCAGGTCATCAGAGAACATATGATATAATGAGAGTTAGACTCTGCTTGGGACCTAACGTCTCACACCTTGAAATCCCAAAGGCAGGGCAATTAGTTCCATCAGACAGATATGGCATTGTGGAGATTTGGGGCTCTAGGAGGCAGGATCCTTGAATAAAGGTGGGTGGGGGAAACGGGAGAGAAGGGACTGCAGGCTCTAGCCCTGGCCCTGGGTTCCCTCTAACACAAGTCAGCCCCCCTGGATCTCAAAGGTGGACTCAGCCCAGGGCCCTGATGCTGCTCCCACTTCTGCCTCAGGGTCTCCAGGGGGCCAGGAAAGCTGAGAGGGGCTTCTCCCAGAGTCTAACACACCAGGCCCACAATTCTTCCCAGTCAGAACCTGGGAAGATAGGGAGCTGGGGCTCCTGGGTCCAGACCATCACTCTCTACTACAGCCCTGGGCTGAGAACCAGCACTAAGGACGTCCGAGACAGAAGTGCCCCGGGGAGGGGCAGGCTTGTCCCTACCTCCAGCCACACCTTGGACCCTGGTTCCAGACTGAGCCCAGACACAGCCTCCATCTCCTGACAGCCTTCTAGAGGAAGGTGAGACTGACACCCAGGGCTCAGATCTGAAGATTAGCACTTGGGTCTTATACAATTGAAATAAAGAGAGAAAAGATGGAGGGAACAGACTATGCAAAGGCCCCGAGATGAGGAACAGCAGCCTGTTCTCTCAGAGCTGGCCCTGCCCACCCTCCAGCCTCATCCAGGGGACCTCTGTATCCCTTCAATCACTGGGTTCCAGCTACCCTGGCCCCGCTCCGTTCCTGGAACAGGCCTGGTCCATTCCTGCCTCATGCTGTTCCCTCCACTTGGAACATTCTTCCTTCCCACCCCTTCCTCCTCCAGGAGCTGTGTGCCAGCTAATGCCTACCCCCTACCACTTCTTTCAAGAAGCCCTCTAGCTTTGACCTTTCAGAGCATCTTGTGTTTCTGAATTCACATCCATGATTACTGTGAACTGTTTGCTTGAGTGTGCCCACCCCCACTAAACCACACCTCGATGGAGAACGTCGCCTGGCACATAGTGGATATTTACAAAATATCTGCTAACGAATGGAGTTGGAAGATGTGACTAATTCATAGGGCAGGGGTGGGGCAGGGGAAGGCTGGAGCTGAGGCCGGGGAAGCCCCATCACAGAAGGCTTTCAGCGTCCCTAACAACTTCATCATTTCTTATCCTGACTGCACATCAGGATATCGTAAAAACTGAACTCAATGGTTCAGCAGGTCCGAGGGGGAGTCTGGGATCCATGCTATCTGGCTGACGTGGGGGCCACAGGAGAGGGGCTGGATGAGCACTGTGTTCTGTGCTCAGCCGCTCACACTCCCAACCCTAACAGGCCCCCTTCTGGAGTTCAGACAGTGCTAGAGAGAGGATCCCAACCCTGGCCCCCAGCCTCGACCACCTGCTCCAAAGCCCTACCCAGGCCAGCTAGGGCAGGAAGCCAGGGCAGGGGGCCAGGAGATTCCCCACCCCTCACCCTGCCCATTCACACACACACACACACACACACACACACACACACACACAGTCTCAGAGTAATGAATTAATCAGTATTTACTTGCTAGCAGTGAGTCATAGAGTGGAACAATTAGTGTAATTGCTCCCGTGACTAATTGCTGGGTCTTCCTCCACTTTAGACATTCCAGGAGTTCAAAGCAGCTATCGTCCAACTTCCCAAAGCTCTCATCCGCACTCCCCCGCACCCCACCACCCAGAACAAACCCCCAGGACCTGGGGTGAGGAAGCTAGAGGGCTCCCCACACTGCCAGCCTCCAAAGCTGGAAGCCCTTGGAGACTCTGCTCGGTCCTTAGGCAAGTGGCTTGAAGCCAGAGGCTGCAGCTGCCGCCCAGAGCTGCACAGCAGGATAGGGGCTGAGCAGGGACCAAGACTCAGGCTCCACTCCTGGGCAGGGCCATCTTCACTGTCTTTCCATCCTTCTAGGCAGGCGAGGGAGGGGCTGGGAGACCTTTAGCTGGGAAGAGGGGTTCTAAGAAACCTGAAGTCCCATAGAGACCCCCAAACTGGGGTAAACATGGGGACCAAAATAAGGAGTCCTTATGATTTAGTGATAAGTGCTACACAGCAGCCCCTAACAGCCTGCTCCCAGAAAATCCTACAGAAATCTAAGCTCCCCCCAAGCCACACAGACCCTTGAAATGACACATCCAGAGACACAGAGAGAACATACACAGACACACCCGGACACACTTCACCTAAAGGCAGCCACAGACAGGTACTGTGGGTTGGTGTGCCTTTGGGTGCAAATAGGCACATGCATGGGGGGCGGACACTGGGTGGGGTGGGTGCTGTGCAACTAACTCTGAGGCTCAGAGACAAGCATGGAGCCTCCTATGAACCCATCAGCCTCCACTCAGGTAGCTCTCACCTAGATACTATTCATCCTCAGCTCAGTAGCCATTGACATGACAACCGTTACCATGACGACCATCTCCTCCATGCTAAGGACCAGGAGCTCCAGTTCCCCACAGAGATGGGAGGGGGCCGGAGAGGGAGAGCTCACGGAGGAACAGGGAAGATGACAGGGAAGGGGGAGGGCAGAGGCATGGGATGAAGAGACATGGACAGAGGAAAGCCAGGGGTCAGAGGGACACAGTGGGGGGCAGGGAGGGGCGAGTGGAGGGAGGACTCCCTGTGTGAGAGAAAGAGAACGCTCGAGAGTGGGAGGCAGAGGCAGAGAATTCTCTCACATCTTAATTTAGCCTCGCACTCATCAGACAAAGCTGGGGAAGGGGCCACCTCAGTGATTTTCCAAACTTGCATCCAAGAGAACATTCCTTCTGAAAAACAAGCAGCCCCCAGATGGGGTGGAGGGAGAGGTGACCAACAGCCCAGTCACCCCTGAACTCGCCCTGGGAAGCTTAATACTGGGGATCCCTCTGACCTGTGGGGGTGGGAGGTGGGGTGCAGAATGCCAACTTGCCTAGCACCTCCCACCCCAGGATGGCTGAGTGCCAGCTCTACCCCTCCGTGGGCCAGCTGGGGGTCCAGAGCTCAGTGGGGCTTTCCCAGAAATGCTGCAGGGGTGCTGGTGGCTGCAGCTCCCAGGGGGACAGAAAGGAAAGTGATGGGGGTGGGGAACTGAGCCTGGGAGGCAGCAGGGAAAGCCTCAGAAGTCACAAAATGCCAAAAGAGGATGGTGACAAACAGCCTTTGACCCCCAAACGACCTCCCATTTGCATAATCCATGCATAATTAGCATAATTATCCATGCCATTCCCTTAAAGGAGAACTGAATTTGAATGCCCCAGGACCCTGTGGCCTCCCCCTGACCCTCGCTGGGCCCCCCCAGGTAAACTCACATCCTCCAACACCTGATAAACAGATCCTCTCTCTCTCTCTTTGCAGCTAACAGACAATCCAGGGACATTCTCATGAACTCACACACAGCCAAGCCCTACAAAAACACACAGCTGCACATACAGACCCTGGCACACACGCACAACTATGAGCAACATTTACTGACCCTAACCTGTGTGCCAACCTTAGCTTATGGACAATACAGCCTGGCACATACCGTCACATGGTCACCCATTTACTACACCCCTAGCTGCCTGCACTCACGCATACTACAGCCCTAGCTCGCTCGCTCTCTCGCTCACGCGCTCTCTCTCTCTCTCTCTCTCTCTCTCACACACACACACACACACACACACACACACACACACACACACACACGCTAACTGCACCCTGCTCCTCACCTAACACACTGAAGATGCCCCACACAAACTTCAGCAAAATCTCATTACCACGTGGGTGGCACATACCTCACCCAGGGCACACACCAACCCCTCCCCACATCCACGCATATCACTGCACATCCCTAGGGAGGAACACCCTCAGGCTCTGATACAAAGCTCACAACTTGTTTTCTCCTGTTCACAACCACCATGAAGGTGCCACAAGAGAGCACGCCCACTGCAGAAGCCCCTGTGCCTCTGCTTCCTGCCACCGCCAATCCCGGGAGCAGACACCCAATTGGAGGCGCTCTGAGCAGCTGATGAAGGTCTGAGCTCCCCGGGGGAGTCACTCTCAGGCCCCAGGGGGTTCTAGAGACCTCTGCCCACCACTGCTGAAGGCCTGCTCCAGGTCAGGCATTGGAGCACACTACCTGCACTGCCTCCTTCAATCATCACAGCCTCCCAGAGTTTTGGGTTTTGTTTGTTTGTTTGTTTGTTTTGGTTTGGTTTTTTAAAAGATTTTATTGGAGAATGGGGGGAGGGGAACAGCGTTGGGGAATCGGGGAAGAGGATCAGACAAGTTGCTGTCCTTTTGTTCTTCAGTCTAGCTGTGGAGGACGTTGCTTCACTGGCCCATGTTGGTATTATTATTGCACTCTTCCCAGGTGAGGCAGTCATTCACCAGCCA